ATGAAAAAAATTGTATGACAGTTTAAAATCCAATATATTTAAACGACTCCACAAATGTGTTCGATTTACACCAAGAGCAAAGAACCAAGAAACTTGAGTTTTAAGATAAACACTCAAAAYCAATAAAGAAAACTACAAATTTAACAGATCATAAGCCATGAAAAGACCAAAAAAGATAAGTTTTAGAATGAAATTTCAACTGTTTACCCTCTTTCTTGTCCAGAAACTCAGATTAAGGTTGAATTAATACATGTATATATATATATATATATATATTTTTCAAAAAAACCCAAGAACATATTAATTCAGAACATATTATATAGTGGAATTTGGACAGTCAAACCCCAAAATATATAGTATATATATAGGGGAGCGTTCAAATAAAAACACCCTCATTTGTAAAAACCGTACAAACCACCTTCATAAGTCGATTTCATTGTTTAATCTTATGAAATTTTTTCATGAAATTGTTTAATCTTGTGAATTTTTTTTCATATAATACTTTTTTTGATGAATTTGTTTCATATATGGTTATGAAATTGTTTCATATAATATTTAGTGAAATTTTAATGAAATTGTTTCATGTATTTCTCTAAAATTAAAATAATTAAGATGATAATATACATGATTAACACCTTCCACAATAAAAATGGTTAATCAACCTCTCATAATTACAAAAAAATAAAAAATTATGATTGGTTGAATGAGGTTTTCACGGTTTTTACAAATTGAGTGGTTTTTATTTGAACGATCCCATATATATATATATATATATATAACTATAAAAGTATATAATCGTAAATATTAAAAATATTTTTTCACAGTATATATAATATATAATAATATAATTAAGTCAAAAAATATTCAATATTGGACTCATTTCGAAGGTATTAAATAGACGATTATAATGGTGTAACTTGTTAAAATAAAAATGTATTTTTTTAAACATGTTTTAATTGATATACGATTATGTATATAAATTCGATAAATGTTTAAAATGAAACATTTAAAAGTAAATGACGTAAAGTAAATTAATTAACTAATTATAGGAATATAAAGTGTAAATTTAGAATTATAATTTTAAAAAAAATCGGTTGTGAGAGTGTGAATGTATGTGTGGGGGTGAGTGCACACGAGAAGAGGAAGGGTGAAAAAGTGTATAAAGGGTATACTGGTCATTTAGTATTTTAAGACTTTAAAACTTTTGCTAAATTTGCTTTATTAGATAGTATAGACATATATATATATATATATACTAGAAAGGTACTCGTGCAATGCAGCGAGATACATCTTGATTTTAATATTTCATTTTATTTTTTATCTCAATCAATGTTATAATACGATCTTATATGGTTTTGAGAAAACGATGATGTTTTTATTTTTGAATAAAATATAAGTTTGAAGATATCATAAAAATTTGACAAAAATATATCGATATTAGTATCAATTTAACTATTTAAAATTTCTAATTTTTTTTGTAATTTTTTAATTCAATTTTTTTATAATTTACTTTATATACGATAACAAACTAACTTATATTTGGTTTAATTATATAATTTTCTTATAAAGATAATAATTATTTATTTTGTTAAAATTCGATAATTATTCTAATTATATTTTAAATTTTTTATATTTTAAAATGAGATGTCTATTCTTTATTTGATTATGTTTATTCGCAGTTAGTTATACGAATTCAAACATCACTTTAATAGGTTGTATTTATGCATAATTTACTTGTAATCTTGAATTTTAGATAATATGCATCAATATACAGTACTTTATGCATAACAAAAATATATCGATATTCGTATCAAATTAACTATTTAAAATTCCTCATTTTCTGTAATTTTTTAATTTATTTTTTTTATTATAATTTAATTTAGGTACAATGACGAAGTAATTTATATTTTTGGTTTAATAATATAATTTTCTTATAAAAATAATAATTAATTAGTTTTTTAGAACTCGATAATTATTCTAATTAGGGGTGAGCATAGGTGGGTACCCGCCGTTTTTGACAGGAACCGGAACCGGCGGTTTTTGAGATATTGGAACCGGAACCGCCGGGAACCGGTTCCTATTCCGGGTATCACTTCCTAAAATACTAAAATTTTATTATTTAGAAATAAAAAATAAAACATTGCCAAAACACTAAATAAATAAGCAAGAATACAAATTATACAGAATAATTGTTACAAATATTGTTTAACGATTACAAACTATAATAGACTAATAGAAAATATTCAAAATTTAACGATTACATACTACAATGGTAAATGTTCAAAGTTTAACGATTACATACTATAATGGTAAATGTTCAAAGTTTAACGATT